TGTAATTGAAAATACTAGTTAACTCTTTAAACTTCGGCTTCATCCATTTGACTGTTGGAAATACCTTATTTCTTGTAGCTGGAGGGTAATCATTCATTCAGCAGCTAGACATGAAAGGTACTCAGGCTTTTCTTTGCCTCACATCACAAAAAGCACCTTTATTTATGTTTATACAGACTTGGAATATGAACTTAAGATTTCAAAAAGACCCTTGTTTTATCCTTTGATCAACTTTTAATATCATTCTGATGCTTATATTCTCATATAAAGTGGTTATTGTATTAAAGCAAGAAGTAAAATAATGAATTTTGAAATATTGGTGACATTAATGACACTTTTCAGATTTGACAAATATGATGAATCAAACACATGTTCATCTCTCAGCAGCAGTGTAAAAACCCATACTCTCCATGAAATTATTCACAAATCCTTCTTTGTTCTCTTTTAGAAACCGATCTTCAAACAAACACGATGCCAGGTGGGAAAAGCAGTTCTTAGGACGTCCATCAATCATAATCACTAACTAGATGTGAAGATTCATATTTCACCCCTAAAAACTTGACATTTTTAACCATGCATGCTTTATCTTCATAATAAAACACCTTTCTGCTTTAACATATTTTCACTGAGTTTAAAATGAAAGAGATTTTTTTTTTTTAGCTAAAATAAATTTTCAGCTGAAATTTCTGTTGGGTTTATCCGTCTGTGGCAGAAACAAGTTGCAACAATTTATTCATACGGTATCATCATATAAACATAATTTAGCAACATATTTGCAAATCTCTGAAGGTTTAACCTGATTATTTACTCAGTTTAGATGCTAGTGAGCGTTCCTGCACGGAAACAGTGACGTGTTGCAAGAGCCCTAAAATCTTGCTCACAGAGTAGAACCAGTAAGTTGTAAAAATGAATATTTGTTTGTTAAAAGCATTATAAAATGTTCTTAAGTAAATTCAGAGCTGTGATGCATCTTTTAAGAAGTTATCTCAGTTGTGCAACAGAATCAGGGTAAGGCTCGGATTGCGAGAATTTCCTTGGCGTGTCCGAACTCGTCTTCTTTAGCTCACCTGTGACAGTTCTTCAGAACACGCTTTAGTTTATTTTTATTCTCATATTTTCCCCCATAGACAGAGCCTATGGTGTTATGTTTTGAGTTTTTACACAACAATAAAATACAGGTGTATATTTTTATTTTGGTAACTAGAGAAGAGTTTGTGTGGGTATTTTTTTCTAAAGTGAGAAATGGTTTTAAAAATTATTGAGGTGTTTTAGCGGCTGAAAGAAGTAGCAGTAAAAGTATTTACTAGAATACTAATTAAATGGCAAAAATTAACAAATTGTGATCTGCTTGTAAGAAAAGTCAGTTTTTTTAGAGAACTAATACAATTATTCTTCCTTTGATTCAAACTTTAGGCACATTCTTGCTTTATGTGATGTTTATATACACCATATGATCAGAGCATTTTGTAATAATCAACAACGAAAGAAGGAAATTTGCATTAAATTCAATTCAGTTTATTTATATAGTGCCAAATCACTCAAAATTAATCATGGAGTTCCTCAGGGCTCAGTGCTTGGACCAATACGTTTTATCTTATATATGCTTCCATTAGGTAAAGTTATTAAACAACAAGGGTTACATTTTCATTGTTATGCTGATGATACAGTTATATGTGTCCATGAAACCCAATGAATCCAATCAGCTACTTAGACTACAAGCATGTCTTAAAGATATAAAAACCTGGATAACCCTTAATATTCTGCTTTTGAATACAGACAGTATTGAGGTTTTGTTTTTTTATACAGAGACTAGGAATAGCAGTTAATATATGCCCTAATATTGTAATATTTGACTTTTGTATAAAAAAAAAATATGAAAAATGTCTGTCCTGCATTAAAAGTGTGCAAAATCTGGCACATTTGCTCAACAAACAGTAAAGTAGCTGTCAAATGATAATTTTAGATTCATTTAAAGTTTAATTTTGCTAAAAAAGAATCCAATCCATTAAATTTCAACATAGTACATATTCCTTTAGCTCAAAATCACTAAAAACGATTTCTAATGATCAGTTGCCCAGAACTAAACAATAAATGACAAATAATGGGTGACTGAGACGGTTACACCCTTATATTCTGACGTCAGCATATTGTTTATGGTCATTTCAGACTTCTGCTTTTTACGCTGCGTTCATCTAAAGTGCAGTTTTACCAGGTCAAAGTTAATTTCAGCTAGTCAGAAAAAAAGACTTCTTCACTACCTGATCCTTTTCCTTTTGTTTTTTCCGCTCATCTTATTTCCTGTAGTGTTCCAGATTTTTATTTTATTTATTTTTTTTTGACACATTTTCTTTCTTGGTTTTTCTCTCCCGCTTGTGCTTCGTGAACCCTGTTGTTTTGTCTGTCGCTGCTCTTATCAGCAGCCGGAAAAACAAATGTATCACAGTTACAGCGATAAGGCTCGGTGATTCAACAAAAAGGTATTTCAGTGGCCGGATGTTTACTTTGAAATATACCTGTTCGTTAACTGTAGCTCTCAGGTCACATGGTTTAACCAAGAGGAAATGTTTCGATGGAATCAAAAAAAGGCGACAGGGATATTTGAGTTCAAGTGAAAAGGATTGAACCTCGGATTTATTTGGACAAATGTATTTCATAGCTGCTGTTTGGTGTGTTGCTCAGCTGTTAGAACATTAGCACTAATTCTGCTCGCAGCGGCTACACTGTACACTTTGTGCTGTTCATTTCAAAATTCCTGGCTGCTGACTGTGCCGTTTGGTCGTTCTTCGTGTAAAAGCTCTTTGTGTTTGAGTAACGAGATAAAGGCCCAAGAGTTTGTGTAGTTTTTGTGATAGTACATCAGGAAAAAAGCGGTCGATGGAGCTGTAATGTGAACAGCCTCTCTGCCGCGATGTTAAACTTTGTGTTGACAGAGACTAAAGTCAGTAAATGGTTGACAGGGAAACCCGCGTCTATTTTTAGAAAAAAAAAAAAAATTAAAATCATCTCCGATTTGTCAGATAAATGTGGTTTGTGGCATCTTTTTCAAACACTTTTGAATCGAAAAAAAAAAAGTCATTATTTCCATCTGTTTGCTGCGGCTGATAACCTCAACTGGTTCAACTGGTACATATTTGTATTTTTGTCCCATTTTTGTTTCTTTGTATTTTTTCCTGTCTGCTTACCAAAAAAGGTTTCAGATTCAGTCACATAAACCCTACATGTGCAACAAACTGCTCTCTGACCTCGTTTCACTCTGCTTTCACCCTCTATATAGAGTATTTCACTTTTGTTTCAATTGACAACTTGTAAGTTTAATCTAAACTTAAAAAAAAAAAAAAAAAAACTCACTAGATTCCCTCAAAGCATGTAAACTTTTTAATTGCACATTTATTTGTACACCTGTTTCATTTAGCTGTAAACTTTAGCTTTAGCTTCTAAACTGTCTTTTTTATTATGTTAAAAATGTTCTGGCACATTTGAGTTGAGTATTAAACCAAGTTCAAAGTGAGATAATTTGAATGTAAAAAAAAACAATGTCTAAGTGATAAAAGTGGAATCAATATGAAAGATAAAAACTCTTTTGTCATTTAAAAATGTGTCATTTTAATAAACACTTCATATTTGGTCAAGAAAATCTAGTTCAAGCAGACTAAACAGGCTGTTGTCATATGTACTACGTTCCTTGAACGTCACATAAGTTTATTTGAGGAGGTTGCACATGGGTGCCACATGGCAGAATCACAACCTACTCTTTGAGTTGTGTTAACTGTCAATCTCATTTAGTTTTGTTTTGTATTGGATTAAATATTTTGCCCAATCAGGTGGGAGTGGGTGGGATTAATGGTGCGCTGCATGGGACGTGGGTCAGCCTCCTCAAACAAGCTTATGTGACGTTCAACAGCCTGTTTTATCTGCTTGATTAGATTTTCTTGACCAAATATGAACTGTTTTTTAAATTACAAATTTTTAAATGACAAAAAAAAAGTTGTTTATATTTCATATTTATTCCACTTTTATTACTTAGACATTGTCTTTTGAAACTCAAATGATATCACTATTAACTTGGTTTAATACTTAGTTTGTATTATAACGCACGGTTCAAACTGGGCTACAAACAGAAGCAATATGTTAAAGTTTATGTTGCTGCCTCACAGTTTAAGACTTTTCAGCGTCTTCTGTAGTTGTAAAAGTTGCAGATCTGAGTTTGTAGCAGCACGAATGCTCATGGAACGAGATAAATTACGCCAAAGTCATGTCAAGAAAATAATTCTCAGTTGACTTTTATTACATATGGCTGTGATCATATCTAAGGTCAAACTCGACTTCATTGTTGTTTGAATCATTTATAAAGTAACACTGTATTTAAAGTAAAAGATGATGCAAAGGCCGTGTTTCTTCACAGTGTGTCCAACGTGATCGTTGTGCAGTGTTTGTCGCAGCTAACCACTGGTTTCCTCTTGTGTTTTTCAGCATTCAGTCACCGTATTAACAACAGCTCTGCACATTGCTGGTAAGTCCGTCTGATAGCTGTATTTGTCACGGAGTCGTGCACTCAGATGTATTTTTATCTGGATGGGATGGTTGAACAGCACGTTACAAGAAAACAATTTGACGATTTTTCACTGTAAACAGACAACGATCTAAACACTTTCCCTTTATTAGCAGAAGAGTTTTACATTTCATCCATTCATTATCTTTTACCCACTTCTTCCTTTTTGGGTAGTGGGGGTCACTGGTGCCCATATCCAGCAATCATTGTATGAGAGGCAGAGGACACCCTGGACAGGTCTCCAGTCCATCACAGGGACACACAGAGACAAACGAGACAAAAAGCCATTCACTCTCTCACTCACACCTAGGGACAATTTAGAGTTACCAATCAGCCGAACATGCATGTTTTTGGTCTGTGGGAGGAAAGTGGAGTACCCAGAGAAAACCCACGCATGCACCGAGAGAACATGCAAACTCCACCCAGAAAGGTCCCGGGCTGGTATTTGAACCGGCGACCTTCTCGCTGAGAGGCAGCAGCTCTACCAACTGAGCCACCATAAAATGTTGATGCTAATTACGTGAATGTTTTCGAAGCATTCACACTATTGTGATCCATTTGTCGTCCACGTTTTTCTGCATCTTTCTCGTTCCACAATTTTTGGTGCTACTTCAACAAGTCATAAATCGAAACGTTCAGCTCATACAGGACAATCCTGTTATGACTTTTGGTATTGGTGCAACTTTAGCTTTTTGAAATATTTAATCTTTTCCGCCCTTTTTTTTTTTCCTTACAGAAAATGAATTGAGCTCATTTTACATCCTTCATATCTTTAGATCGGTTTACAACCATTTACTGCTCCTTTCACATTTTGTTATGGTTCAGCTTCTTTCAGCTTCCTTATGCAAATGTAAACATGTTTTCAGCTACTTCTAGCTGTTTTCAGCTATTCTTTCAGCTGTTTTGTGCTCCTTTCAGATTCTTTCTGCTAACTACGACATTTTTGTGCTTCTTTTAACTTATTTCTGCTGATTCCAGCTTGTTATACTCCTTTCAGCTTATTTCTGCTACCTTCAGCTTTTTCTGCTATTTCAGTTACTATTTAGCTGATTTATGCTAATTTCAGCATTTTCAGCTCAATCCATAATTTTTGCGCTCATTTAAACTTTTTTCAGCCTAATTCAGCAAAAATGTGCTTTCTCGAATTCCTTCTGATAATTTCAGCTTCTTTCTGCCTTTTTAGCTACTATACAGCTGTTTTGTCAATTTCTGCTTTTTTCAGATGTTTACTTTCTTTGTGCTCATTTCTGCTTCTTTAAGCCTAACTGGTCCCAATTGTTTCCTCTCAACTTTATTTTGGTATGTTAAGCTTCTTACTGCACTTTCGGCTACTGTTCAGATATTTTTGCTATTTTCAGCTTTTTTTTTTTTTAAGCTAATTGCTGTGCTCATCTCTCCTTATTTAAACTAAATTCAGCAAATATGTGTTCTTTCTGCTTTCTTCTACCTGTTCTTCCAGTTCAGCTAGATTTCAGCATTGTTTTTAGCTAATTTCAGCTGTTTTCAGCAATAAGCATTCACACTGCATTTTTGCTGGAAATGCAATTTCTCTAGTTCAAATATAGACCAGTGCAAACATGAGCATATTAAGACTCATAGCAACAACAGATGTGCAGATAAACGTGTCACCCTTTAGCTACCAGCATGGTGGCGTCACACTTGTCACTGACGATGTGTTTATCTGTGTCTCATCAAGTCGGCCAGTCGCTATTGAAACCGTTGGTACCAAAGCTGTCAACACATAGTTTAAAAAAAAAAAAAGAAGTAACTTTGAGTGTATTTGTGCAGAAACAGGGTCAGAGCTTCCTGTATGTGTTGAAACACCTGAATGTGTGTCTGCCTGGGAGGCTTTGAATAAGACTCAGTCTGAGCCCCGGAGCTTTTTTCCTGCAGCGCCTCTGACGCTCACGACAACCGGTTGTTTGTCTTTGATCTGCCAGCAGCACCAGACAACACACAGGACTAAAGTCAAACTAACCAGAAGCTGCTGATGCCTCTGCTAACCTCAAACCAGTTTTCCTTCTGAAGATAACATCTCTGACTTATAGTCTGTGATGATCAGTGTTAAAGTTGTAGTGTGTAAACACCCCTATGTGTTATTCTAGATCTAGCTCTGTAATTACAATTAAATTACAGAAAGCACTTTGTTTGTTAAATATGTCTGCATTGTAAGCCTGATAACTCCATATTTCCTTTCGTTTATACCTTTTTAACCACCTTCAGCCCAGAAAAGATGGCTGCAGTAACAGATGCCTGCTTTGCATGATAAGAGCTTGAATCAGAATTTTAAATAGTGTTTAAAAACAATTATTTGCTGGAGTGTTCCTGAGCTCAGGTAGTATCCTGAACTGTTTTTAATGCAGTCCCACCTGAGGTCCTGAAGGGCCATTTATAATTTACTTTCCGTCACGTTCTTTCCAATTTCACTAGATTCTTAAAACTTTTACTTCTCAACTTTAATTGTGCAGGCAATCAAAGCCCATCAAATTATTTGGTAATTAGCAACATCTGGACAGATTACACATCTGATAAAAATAGCATCACTTGTGCTCACGTCATAAGCCAGGGGTGGGCAACTATTGTTCCCAAAGGGCCAAATCAAATATTTAAAGCAATAGAATGGGTGCTTAAAGAATTTGCAAAATACATTTTTATTAAGACACAAAATCAAAAAAAAAAAAAAAAAAAAATTCAGGCTTTTTGTTGTTGTTGTTGTAGCATCTCAGTAAAAATATGTCCCCAAATACCCTGTAGAAATAGAAGACACATTTTCTGTAAAATGGCTCTTGTGACAATAAATTACACTAAATATGAGGTGAGGGGGGTTATATATTCGAATTTTGGAGTCTTTAAGGTTCAGTCTAGTTTTAGAATCACAAGTTTAAAAAAAAAAAAGGTTTTATGTATTGATCCAAGATGTTTAATCAAAATCAGAATGAGCTTTATTGTCATTGCACCAAAGCACAACAAATTTATGTTTCAGTACATCCCGTCCAAGAGAAACATAAATAAACAGACATGAGATAAGACAACAGACATTACCGTATTTTCTGCTGTACACGTCACACTGTCCTATAAGTCGTGTCAGTCCAAATATGTCCAATAAAGTGGAAAAATCCATAAATAAGTCGCTTTGACGTATAAGTTGCATCTATTACGCATCACCGCTGAAAATCCGGAAATGTGGGCCGGTGTTGTGCCAAAAATTGTTTGGCTGCCAAATGGCGGCCACAGGAGCGTGCACAGGAGGACTTGCTGTGCATTTCTAGGAAATTTAACAAGATAACCACCTAAAACCAATTATTTGTTTGCTCGACAATATAGTAAAGGTGTGTCTCAGTTGAACTTTTACTTAATAAATGCACTTTAATGGTCAAATTAACTGCATTTTGCCGGGGCGGTGCAGTGAAATGAAGCTGGTTTCACGGTTGCACCTGGCAAGCTGGACGAAGGTGGCAGGCTATGGAAAGCTGATTGTGTCATTAGTAGCCACTTTTACCTATTACATGACAGAATGGCATGCCGTACAACTCGTGTGCCATCTAGTGGCTGAAAATGTTAGTGTTCAATATTTTCAGTCAGAATTAATGAAAATGGCCATATCTCAGCCAAAAATTGTTTTATAAATATGGGAAAATCCATAAATAAGTCGCTTTGACGTATAAGTCGCAGAGCATGCAAATTATGAAAAAAACAACAGCAACAAAAAATGTGATTTATAGGTGGGAAAATACGGTAAAATAAACTTCCCTATGTTTCATTCATAGATGTTTTCATCATCTTAAAAAAAAAAGTTGTTTTCTTTTCAGTTAAGAGTTTTGGGAGCCGGATGGAGATTATCCAAGGGCCACTTTTGGCCCCCAGGCTGTATGCTGCCCACATCTGTCCTAAGCCATTTCTCAACCCATGCATAATTCATCTTTAGAGCATCGTTATACAGTTATCTCCACTGTTGTTAGCTGCACCCTCAAACTTTGCATAAATTAGACCATTTGTCATAAATTAGACCATTTGTCATAAATTAGACCATTTGTCATAAATTAGACCATTTGTCATAAATTAGACCATTTGTCATGGCCGTAACTGCCTCTAAATGCTATTTTTAGGGACTTATCAAGCTGTTTCAGCTGAATGGAGTTCATTCTGTTGTGCTCTGTGAAGCTGCGCTGTCATCTTCATTGGGGAAATGCACATTGTGTGTAGGAGTGTCTCCAGTTTCAGTTAGTCTGTAACCTAATCTCCACATGACGTTCCACAGTGATAATGATGTTTTGAAGGGATTGTCTGTGAAGTCAACGTTAAGATCTACGTCTGAAAAGATGAGAAATTCTTCAGCGCTCTGTTATGATTGTATCCTCTCCTCACTTTGTTTCTCTACAGGCCAAAACATCTCGCCATTTTATTCCCCGTGATCAACTTGTGCAGCCCAAAGAGGCACATGGGTGGATCCGCCTGGCTTCCTGTGAAAGACTCGTTCGACGGGATATTCTATCGCAACCCATTTGCCTCTTTCTGTCTGGCTGACAAGGACTGGAAATCTGAATCAACCAAAGCAATGGATTGTCAGGGTTTGGACTGTGCGCTGTTAACACAACTATTTAGAATTTATTTGTTTTTATTTCCTCTTTTACCACTGGGTTGCTTCCTCCTTTGACCCGTTACTTCCACATGCTGTTGATGAACATTATGGCTTCAGTTTGGTCTATCCTGGAGAAACCCAGAACACAGAGAACTTGTGCTATTGAGACCTTTTTTGGTTTAAAGTTGATGGAGTGATGAGAGTGATGAATGATTTGTCTTTATCCTGCTAGAAACCTGAGGGAAAAACACACACATGCAAGTAACATCAATCAACTGTGATTTCATACGTGCATGAGTGATCACAACCATAGTGCCCACACAAGTAGAAGATCAGGTATTCTGCTTTAAATAGCATCTAAAATAGTAGTATTCATCTTGCTGCTGGTGCCAGGAGGGTGGAGTTTTCCTGATAAGAACAACTTCAAAAGCGGCAGTAGATTTTAGTTCACTTTGAAGCTCAAGAGCTTTGTTGGAAGTCGCTTGGATCCATGATACCTCAGTTTGTTTGGTGCTCACCATGGTGAAAGACGGTTACTGGTGTACCTGCTCAGTCCACACTGCCAGAAACGTAGATATTTTTTTGTTTATTTTATTTTGCGTTGAAGCCACTATGAAAATATATCGGTATCACTCCCCTTTTTAGTTCCCCAAGCCTCATTATTATTATTTTTCTACAAAAGTATGCCATATTTATTCAATTAAAATAACTGTAAAGGTGATTTTCAGACACTTTTTAGGACAGGTCCCCTTAGACAAAACATGTTTAAAATTAGCTAGCATGGTCATTGGTATTTATGACATATAGTCAAAGACGTCTGAGATAAAAAGACATAAAATCCAACTTAAAAAAGACCAGAATTTAACATTGAAGCAATTATTCAAATATATATAATGTTACGTTCATGTACCTTTTAAGACACCAGCTGAAGCATGAGGACTGCATCCAATAATGGTCAGTCAGGTCATCTGGACAGTTTCTGTTTTGTGGAAAGACAGGGCGTCATCGGTCTAAGGAGTCCCAAGTAAACTGTTTCCCCACCAAGCAGTACACTCCTTTAGTGGACCAACCAGTTTACTAGGACTGCAGTATGGTTACCCAAAGTCAGAAATACAGTTTCTTTTTTTTGGGGGGGAAAAACTTTTTTCAACAAGGTCCCATCACTGCAGCCCGTCATGCAGGACCTGCTAACTGCCAACAGGCTATTGCTTTCATTTTGCATCTTTAGGCAGCAAAATAGGATATCCACCCTGCCACCAGTTTATTTGATCCACTAATTGAAACTGTTGCTTTATGAATTGTTTTAATGAAGCAATTATGCCCCAAAATAGGAAATAAACAGGTGAGCAATCACTTGTTGGTCACTTCTTGCCACATGCTCTCTTGTACAAGTCCATGATAACTTAGAATTTAGACACATTTTTTTTCTCTAAACCATTGGTTCCCAACTCAGGTCCTTGAGGAACACCATCCTGCATGTTTTAGTTGTTTTCTTGCTCCAACACACCAGATTCAGTGATTTAATTACTTCCTCATGTTCTGCAGAAGCCTGTTAACTCATTGATTTAAATCAGTTGTGTCAAAGCAGGGAAACAACTGAGACATGCAGGATGGTGGTCCTCAAGGATCATGATTGGGAACCTTTGCAAAGTGTCCCGTTTTGACCTTTGCTGGCCTCCTGGTTTTTTTCCTGGCCTGTGCTTTATCTTTATCAGCCATTTGATAGAGGATCCTTCCTGTTTTTTTTTTTTTAAATCTTTCTGTCCTGGAAACTCAGGAGGACTCAGGCTGAGGAGGCGGAACGGTTCAGTACGGCAGAAGCAAGACTGAGCCTGCAGGACCATGGTGCTCAGCCTCAGCAGGAAGGCATTTGTGGGCAGTGACATACGTTTGAGGTTTTGGAGGGAAAATGATGAGCTTCACATCAAAGCTATTCTTCTTTATTTTAATCACAATTAGTTTGTTTTAGACTAAATTATAAAACTTGGGGGGTCATTAGAACATAATATGTGAAAATGAACACTTGTATTATTTTGGGCCTGTTGAGTATTTTGCCATCAACCTCAAAATATATATTTTTTAATCAATGTGTGTGATCTCAGACTTCAACGTGCACTGATCTCCAGTATAAAAAAGTATTTATTTGTTTAGTTAAGAATATTATGATGACTGGAGCTGAAGATCATATAGCTTGTCAGCAGATCGCACATCCAGAGGTTTTCACCCAAAACTCAAGCTGAATCTTGAAATGTTTAACATATATTGAAGTCTTTAGTTTGGGATGATACAAAGCACAGAATGTATTAATAACTACATGTAGATATGTTGTTATATTGTCCTAAATGAGACGTGTTCATATATTTTTAAACACCACAAGAAAAACTGCCCTGATTGTAAATATTAGTAATATTGTACTAAACTGCTAACTTTTTTTTTTTTTGGATGATATATGTGGGGATCAATTTCTTGTTATGAATGATTACTTACAGCAATGCTTTGTTAATGTTTACAGATTTATTTTTGCCTTGTTTAAAATTGTGTATACATGATGAGGTCTACCAGCTGAAATTCATCTTTTAACAGCCTTGTAAAAAGTTATTGAAATATTTTCCTAATTTTGACTGGTTTGTTGCATTTTTTTTTTGTCCAAAGTGTTACACTGAGATCTCATTTTAAATAGTTAAAAAAAAAACAAAGAGACCAATCAGGCTCTGTTTGTGTGTTCAAACCGTCCAATCACAGCGTTCGCCTGAGCACGTCGGAGGGACTTCAGGCGGGCGGAGCGTTATTTGTCCTCACTTGCCGTGCCTGGATCTCCTCGACACATTTTAGAAACAATCTGTCTTAACAAGTCTCGCTTCAGTTTGAGCGTGAACCTTTGAATGAAAACAAAGACACGATCTGCTCCACAATAAGAAGTAACAGGTTTTATTTTTTCATACTGATCAGACACTATATTTGTTGTTCATGTCCATGCGATTAAAGACTTGGATGTCTTGACTAAAACCTTAGACATTTTGCTCAGGTGTTGTTTTGTGTGATTCTAGAGATATTAAAATATCCACTGTACATAATGTCAGGAAATAAATGTCCGGTACACATTTTAAATGTCACAGTTTCCACAGTTATGACTAGTTAGGTTAAGTTATTGTTTATTTGCCAGGTTAACACAAGGTTCAATGAAATGTTCAGGATGAGAAGAATTGTTTCGACTTGCTAAAAAAAAACAAGAAATACTAAAGCATGCAATAAAAGTACCAAATAAAGTAGCATAGAAATAGAAATATAATATTTACAAGATCCAAATAAAATATGGTAAACAGCATGCTAGAATATAACAGTGCAAGTAGGATTGATGAGTATTTCACAGGTTAAAAGTGCATGATATATAATGCACATAACATAAACTACACAGGTTGTGTGACAGGTTATTACACAGGTAGTGTGTAACATTGAGATGAATTATGAGGTAGTGACATACATGATAGTTATAAACTCTAGTGTTGGGTTTTTATTCAGGTAAAATTATTTCACTAGTTTCTACATAAAGTTCTGGGACAAATTAAGAGAACACTTTTATTTTATTTATGTATTAAGATTTTCTCTGACCTTAATTTTTATTGTGTTTGAGGAAAATAAACATTTTTGTTTTATTCTACAATCCACAAAATTTCATCCAAATTTCCAATAAATACCGTAAAGTATGGCATTTCTATGCAGAACATGACAAATGGGCAGAATTACAGAAAAAGTGCAGCGTTTTCAGAACCTAAAGCAAAAGAGACATTTAGTTTTAGGCATCACGCTATTAAAGTTTAATTAAAGAGATCAGAAATAAACATTTGGAGCAAAAAACATGAATTTTATTCACAGCTTTGATGCACTCCACACATCTGTCCCACATGGCTGAATAAGCTCAGGTTAAATGGCTTGTGGTTGTCCATCTTCCTATTGATCACACCAAAACACAACCCTTACTGTATCCCTCTACCAGTTAAGGTAAAACAACATATTTCCTCACTCGTTTTCTTTGTAACTCTCTAGGCATAGTCAATAGTATTTTGTTTAAATTCAATTTTTTTGTCATTATTACCATGTTTTTACCATCCATCAGATCATTCAGCCAGAGGTTAATTACTCCAAAGCTTGTTTTTATACTTTTCCTTGTTAAATAAGACACAGTTCAGGTGATCAGTACTTCATTAAGTAGAACGAGTGCTCGTGTTCAACAGACGCTGGAATTAAATGACTCGTACACAGAGATGCCAATTTCAGACAAAATTAACTTTTAACAGCCTTGCTATGCAAAACATAGCAGTGGTCCCTTCATTTGTTCTAGATATTTTTACTAAACCAAACAAAAGTATAAACGCAACACTTTTGTTTTTGCTTCTATTTGTTCATGAGCTGAAGACAAAGACGTTTTCAACGTACACAAGATATCCCTTTTCTTTCAAATATTCACAGATGTGTGTAAATCTGTGTTAGTGAGCACTTCTCCTTTGCCGAGATAATCTATGCACCTCACAGGCGTGACATGTCAAGATGCTGATAGACAGCATGATTATTGAACAGATGTGCCTTAGGCTGACCACAATAAAAGGCCACTCTAAAACGTGCAGTTTTATCACGCAGCTCAATGACACAGATGTTGCAGGTTTTGAGGGAGAGTACAACTGGCATGCTCATTGTAGGAATGTCCACATGAGCTGTTGCTCATGAATCGAATGCTCATTTTTCTACCATAAGCCGTCTCCAAAGGCATTTCAGAGAATTTGGCAGTACATCCAACCGGCCTCACAACCTGTAATCACACCAGCCCGCATCCAGCACCTTCACCTCCAAGATCATCTGAGACCAGCCACCAGCTGCTGCAACAATCGGTTTGCATAACCAAAGACTTTCTGCACAAACTATCAAACCGTCTCACATGCATGCTCATCATCCTCATCTGGGTCTCCATCTGACTGCAGTTTGTTGTCAAAACTGACCTGAGTGGGCAAATGCTCACATTCGATGGTGCATGGCACATTGGAGAGGTGTTCTCTTTATGGGTGAATCCCAGTGTCACTGTACAGGGCAGAGGGCAGACTGTATGGACGGTGCTGTGTGGGTGAGCACTTTGCTGATGTCAGCGTTGTGAACCAAGTGGCCCATGGTGGAGGTGGAGTTATGATATGAGCAGGCGTATGTGTCTAAGGCACACCCGTGCAATAATCATGCTGTCTAATCATCATCTTGATATGCCACACCTGCGAGGTGGATGGAATATCTCAGCAAAGGAGAAGTGCTCACTAACACAGAAGTACACATTTGTGAACAATATTTGAGAGATAAAGACTCCGGCCGTATTTTCCGGCGTATAAGCTGCAGGTTTTTTTTGCAAAGATTTGTCAGTCCTGAGACTTATACGCTGAAGCGACTTTTTTTTCCCTCCATATTCCTAACGCAATTTTTGACTGATGCTTTAAATTTTTAAGAACTGCAACAGCGAGTGCTCCCGTGCACGCTCGCTTCACTCAGCTGGTGCAGGCAGAGGAACGCTGGAGAGCTAGCGGCTCCGGCTGCAATGGATGGATGGATGCATGGATGGATGAATGGATGGATGGATGGATGGATGGATGGATGGATGGCACTGTGCGACCCAGGTGAAATGATGCTGTTTTGATCATTAAATAAATGCAAAATAAACACGCTGGGTCAGCGGTGACACATAATAAATGCGACCTATATGTCAAAGCAACTTGTATGTTTTTTTCCTCTTCATGATGCTTTTTTTGACTGATGCGACTTATATTCCAGAAAATACGGTACATATTAAATAACTGGAAAAAAAAACTGTAACGTAAATCATCTTAATCATCAAATTTGATCTTCTACAGCTGTGCTGTGCAGAGATGCTGCACCTATTTCCTTAGTTGTTCCTTATCGTGCTCAGGAAGTTTTGCAGGTGCGCACATTCTGAAACGTGTGCATGGTTAGGATTTAAGATTCTAGTGTTTGTGCATTGATAAGAGAAGAATAAACAAATAGAAGAAGCCAGTCATATTTGAACATTTGAGAAACCTGCAGAATGAGCAAATGGTTAAAGAGCTCACCAAAGAGAGCCAGTGAAGGGGAATATAATGAAATAAATAAGGAATAACCAGAGAACTGACTCAAGGAGATGATAAGTCAGTGTAAACATATTTTAAGCCGTGGAATAAATAAATCATGAGTCAACCCCTTCTATGTTTTTTTGAAAACACACACTTCTTAAAAACGATGATGTTTCTTTTCTCACCCATTCATTCCCTAGAACTGCTCGTGTGTCAGCTTTGCTCTTTCTTTTTTTTTTGTAAGTATGACACAGTTATTACCTGGAAGTGAAGCCAACCCGAACAGGACTGACATCAGTGCTGCCCCCGTGTGTTCATGAGCCCAGGTGGAGAAGCTCATGACAAAACTTTTAAATGCTTCAAGTTGAATATG